TTTGGGATCCTTTCAGACTAATGTGGTTTGATGGACCAAGACCACCCAAAAGATCTCCATTAACACCCCAAAAATTACTTCGCCCAACCAAAAGCAAAAATCAGTTTGGAGAGAATTATGTTCCCAAATTCCCTAAATGATTGTTTATAAATGTTTCTTGGTCTATTGATATAAATTTAATATCAATTTTGTTATATATATACATATATATCTGCTCTTGATTAAGCTATTGTGTTTGTGTAGCTCATTTAAAAATGCAATGTATAATTAAGAAATATAGGTTAATAGACAATCATCTATAATAGTCAAACTCGTAATCATGTTAGTTAGGTTTTCTAGATATATATAGATATATTTCAGTTAGACAGGTATTCTTCAAATCTTTCAGAGACCTTCAAAATATGGCATTTAAAGTGTTTAAGAAATTTAGGACTTGGGGCTGGAGAGATGGCTCAGAGGTTAAGAGCATTGGCTGCTCTTCCAGAGGTCCTGAGTTCAATACCCAGCAACCAGATGGTGGCTCACAACCATCTGTAATGAGATCTGGTGCCATCCTCTGGCTTGTGGGCATACATGGAGGGAGAATGTTGTATACATAATAAATAAATAAATAAATCTTTAAAAAAAAGAAATTTAGGACTTTTATGACAATGAAACATCTGCTCCTGGCAGCACCAATTTACTTCAAAAAGATGATGGACATTGAAGAGGCTCCTTATGGACTTTGCCAGCCATTTGGGCAAGAACCTGATCTCTCCTGGACTGCTTGGTGTTATGCTGTATGAACTGAACATGAAAGACCCACAGAAAAATGACTTCTGAAGTTGCCTAAAGAAGGTGAGACAGTCCTTCAAGGTTCCTGCTTCATGAAAGAGTCTGCCAGACATTCTGCAGGACACAGAAAAAAGTGATGGTCAAACTACCAATATAGTTGGAACTCTCTTTGCAATTACCTGCTTCATGGAAAAGTCTGCTGGATACTGTGGGCCTGTAGGCTGAAGATGGATGCCCCAATTATAAAGAAGAAGGCAGCGAGATGTCTCTGTCAATTCTGAAGTTTTGGAAATTGCCTACAATGTACTTCCTGTTTACTTATGTAATATTATATCCTTCTGGGGTCTTTGATGGAGTTGAATAATAGATATAATTATGGTATTCCTTAGTTATGATAAAAGACAAAGTAGATATAAATATTGTAACTGTGATTCTTGCTTGATATCTGTTTTGTTATATGTAATTTTACTGTGTAAAATTAAATCATTCCTCTTATTTAAACAGAAAAGGAGAAATGGTGTGGGAAGTCCTTCTGTATATGTGTTGCTTTTATTGGTTAATAAAGAAGCTGGCTTGGCCTGTGATAGGGCAGAGTAGAGCTGGAGGGGGGGAGGAAAGGGGAGGGGGATGTGGGCAGGACTAAACTGAAGACTGGGAGAAAGAAGGTAGAGTCGCGAGACACCATATAGCCACCAGAGGGGAAAGATGTGAGCTGTCAATTGGAACCTTGCCGGTAGGCCACAAACCTGGTGGTAAAATATAAAATAATGGAAAATATAAAATAATGGAAAAATATAAAATAATGGAAAATATAAAATAAATATAATATAAAATAAAATAATGGTGGTAAAATATAAAATAATGGAATTCTAGATATAAGAGCTTAAGCGACTGGCCAAACAGTGCTGCAAATAATATAGTTTCTGTGTGATTATTTCGGGAGTCTGGGTGGCTGAGAAACAAACAAGCAGCCTCTCCCACCAATACTCAGTCAATGCACATTTCCTGTGGGTCTGCGGTGTGCAGGGCACCATGATAAGTGCCAAAGAACACAACTCCTGGAACTCAGCCTCATGCTCTCGGAGCGAAGGCTGGGATGCTGGCTGGCCTGGGAGCAGTGGGGCAAGCCGAGTGAAAACTTTTTAGACACTGCTCCAGAAAAATTCACTCCTGAACCCATGCCTTTCTCTTCTTAGGCATGTAGACAGTCCCTAAGGTCCTGTGAAGCGCTGATGTTTTTCCAGTATGTGAAAATGCTTTGACTGGGCCTGTTGATAGAGGTATAATCCCAGCTCCTAGGAGGCAGAGGCAGAAGGATCACAAGTTCAAGGCCATCTACGCTATAGAGTGAACTCAAGGCCAGCCTAGGTAACAGTGAAACCCTGTCTCAAAATTTAAAAGAGAAAAAAATGGGGGCTGGAGAGATGGCTCAGGGGTTAAGAGTACTGGTTGCTCTTCCAGAGGTCCTGAGTTCAATTCCCAACAACCACATAGTTGCTCACAACCATCTATAATGAGATCTGGTGCCCTCTTCTGGCATGAAGGCAGACACACAGGCAGAACACTGTATATATAATAAATAAATAAATATTTAAATAAATGAAATCTTTTTAAAAAAGAAAAAATGGCAGGGTGTGTGTGTGCATGCACACGCACATGTGTGTGTGCGCATGTGTGCAAACATTCTGTAGATATTAGATATAGTGGTAGAACACCCTAACATGCATGAGGCCCAAAGTTCAATCCTCAACACAGAAGAAAGGATGGAAAAAAGGGAAGGAGGAATGGGAGAGCAGGAGGGAAGGAGGGAAGGAGGGAAGGAGGAAGGAAATGCTGTGAAGTGCACAGTGCTATACACTAGGGGAGGTAGAAGAGCATTCGCACTGTAGCTAGTAAGTCACTGCCCTGGTTCAAATCCCAGCCCTGACTTTACAAGCTCCATGACCCTAGATCATAGGTTAGTTTACCTCTCTGAACCTCAGTTTCTTTTAGTTAGTTCTCTCTCTCTCTCTCTCTCTCTCTCTCTCTCTCTCTCTCTCTCAGGTCATGTGTAACCCAGGCTGGTATGGACTATAGCTAAGGATGACCTTAAATTTCTGATTGTCCTGCCTCCACCTCACATATCTGCTCAGATTGGTGGCATATCCCATTATGTCCTGTTTAGTGCAGAGCTGAGGATCAAATCCAGGGCCTCACACATACTAGGCAAGCACTCTACCAACTGATCCACATCCCTAGTCCCTCAGTTTACCTTCTAGGAAGTGAGGCAATGTGTGTTAAGTGAGTAGTGTTGAGGCCGCAGAGTGGCCTGTGACAGTAACTGCCCATCACCACTGTCCATCACCAGGGAGCTCCTAGCTGTGGTGGGAGACAAAACCAACAGACGGTGGAGCCAGAGGAAAAGGCCACAGTGGACCAACTGTAGGGCTGCCAAGATGTCCCATAGCAGGTACCCAGGGTCAGCAGCAGCAATGCCAGGATACCCCTAGACCTGGCATGTTAATTGTTAGTTGTGATTATGAATTAAATGCCTCCTAGAAAGTTTCTTCAGCTGACAGCTTAGCAGTTCAAAGGTGTAGCACCTGTACCTGCTGAGTTCTGGAGAGGGCCCTCCAGTAGGTAACACATCACGAAGAGGCCATAGCAAGAATGCACACGTGGAAGCAGGAAGACTTTTCTGTTTCCTGTGTGGAACAGGAAGCAGGAGAACTGGGTGGGGCCAGGTCAAACTCTTCTCACAAAGCCTGCACCCTACCCATTAAAACTACCTCAATCCCTTCTAAGGGCCCAAGAACGTCCCATAAAGTTCCACTTCTCCAAGGCCCCACGACTTCTCATATTTTCATTCCTTCCCTCTTTCTTCCTTGCTCCCTTCCTTTCTTTTTTTTTTCTGAGAGAGGTTGTTTTGTTTTGTTTTGTTTTTTTATGTAGCTGTCCTGGAACTTGCTCTGTAGACCAGGCTGTCCTCAAACTCACAGAGATTCTACTGCGTTTGTCTCCTGAGCGCTGGTATTAGAAGTGTGTGCCATCACCTCCCAGCCCCATATTTTCATACTAGGAAACAAGTCTCCAACCCACAGACTTTAGGGAACAAAGGACATCCAAACCACAGCATCCAGGGACCTAAGAGATTAAGCAGAAAATTGAGGGTGAGCTGACTTCAGCTCAGCAGCAAACAGGCTGGGGTTAAAATCCAGATCTCTTCTCAAGGGCCTCTTGAGCTAGACTTGCAGGTCTGGGCTTCAACTATAATGACTCCACCTCACAGGGTGCTGTGATGACCAGTCTGTGCGGACTGGCCTGCAGAACACCCAAGGTCTGTGCCACCCAGAGTCAAGTCTTAACTGAAGTCAACTCAGGAAATAAAAATGATGTCTTCTTATAAATTTGACTAAAAGAGGAACTGGCTCTCTGTTCATCTCTGCATCTTTCCAAATCTTGCCCAAAAGATGTGCTTGAGGTCCCTGAGCTGTAACCCCCGTTGGCGGCCATCTGCACCAGCTCCATTGACCTGGAACACCAACCAAGCCTCTGGAGTCCTTCACCTACTTGCAGCTCTCAGGATTTTGCTCAGTCTTTGATAACTTATTTAGTTATCTGCATTATTGCCCCAGGCCCAGCAACCACCCAATCCCAAAACTTCCTGGAGCCTTCAGCAGAGTGGTTAGCAGCAGGAACTACACTGGAGAGCTGTTTCCACAAGGTCCCAAGGTGGCTTTAACTGTCAGTCATTTATCTTCTACAATAAACTGAAGGCAGCTCACAACAAAAGAGAGTGAAGGGAAAATCTGAGGGCTCTAATCTGCTGCTCTTGACTTTCCTTGTGCTATCCTTTGACTCAAGGTCATAAGAGAGCTGCTTCCCATCCAGACCTCAGTTCTGCATTGGGGGCAGAAAAAGGACAAGGAAGCAACAAAGACAACAGTACTTTTGCTGTGAGCTGCCTTCAGTTAAACAGAGGGATGACACGTGGTTACCTCTCTGTAGAATCTGGAAGTAAGCAGTTTAGATGGACACACTGATTTACAATATATGGGTAATATTGTAAGGAAGAAAGATAAAATATAGCAAGAAAACTGTAGCCCATGAACAAAAACCAGTTCACTATTTGTGTTTATAAATAAAGTTTTATTGAAATGCAATTGTGTCCATTTGTTTACAATACTAAGATTGTTAAGTATTTACTAATACTGAAATTGAGTGTTTATTCAATACTCAGTGTTGACTCGTGGTAAGAAACTACTTGGTATCTAGAGTTTAAAATGTTGGCTCTCTGATCCTTTACAGAAAAACTTGCAAACCCTCCTGGAGTAGAAAAGCAGTAGTGTCTGGCACAGGTACTAGCAAAAGGCAGACTTCTCTCCAGCCCCAGGAAACTCCTATAATAACCCCCATATCTTATGCCCAACGTTAAAGCTGGTTCGTGCGAGGCAATGCGCAAACTGAGCTCAGACTTGAAGCAATGTGACAATGTGAGTAGGAGCTCCATCAAGCGGTGGGGAACACACCAAAGCTTTCAGGATAGATAGTTCATCCCAATGATCCCAAGACACGTGACAGGTTAGTGGTCTGTTGTTGTGTGTCCTTTCTCCCAAAACTGTGATTGAAGACATGCACAGAGCCCGGGTTTTATGGGCAAACTAAGAATCCAGACTCATACCTCATGCTCCCAGAGGAAGCACCATTACCTACTGAGCCGCCTTTATAGCCCTGTCGCTTTTGGTTTTTGAGACAGATTCTCACTATGTAGCCCGGGCTGGACTGAGACTCACTATGTAGCCCAGGCTGGCTTCAAACTGATCATTCTCCTGTGTAGTGATAGTTCATTTGTATTTTAATATATAAAGCTTGCCTGAAGTTCAGAGAGTAAAACAGCCCCGCTGGTCAGCCTCACAGACCAGGCAGTGGAGACACGTCTTTAATCCCAGTAGCCACCTAGTTTGCCACAGAAACAGGACGGTAGTGGTGCACACCTTTAATCCCAGCCCTAGAGAGGAATAGAAAACGGGAGGAGCTAGCTCTCAGTCTCAGTCCGAGGATTCCCGGAGGCAGGATCACCATTTCGTACTGAGGTAGAGCTAAGAACCAGTGGCTGGCTGTTTTGCTTTTCTGACCTGCAGGTTGAACCCCAATTTCTGTTTCTATGTTTTTATTAATTTGCTACACTCCTGTCTAAACCTCCCAACACTGGATGTCCTGGCATCTTCACACTTTGATTTCCTGGTTGAGTTTACTGACTTTGCCCTTGCCAAGGATGAACCAGTTGGCATTTTGCACCGAATGCCACATAACTGAACAGCAACTTCAAGGAAGCAAGCAAACATAATCTCAAAACAGACCAGTTTCTCTTGAAGACCAAGGCCAACCTGCCTGACTCAGAAGAGTCCGCCCAAAAAAGGCAAATGGTTGATAACCAATTTCCTCCAATTGTTCAATCCCCTGCTGCAGTGGTTGGTGACTATGTGTAAACTGACACTCGCTCATCAGCAGGGAAAGAGCCTCCCCTCACCCGCTCTCTGCTGGTTTAGTTTCTCCTCGGCTGACACCCAGAAATTTCAATATAATTATCTAGGCCACTTGTAACAAACTCCTTTCTGGAAAATGCTACAAATGAGATTGGTAAGTGGCTAATGAACCTAAACCTGGAGTTCAACTTCCTTGTGATGAACCTAAGCCTGGAGTTCAACTTCCTTGTGACCTGAGCATGAGTCCTTTTAGCAGTGTTTTCTGTGAGTGCGCCCTTCCCCAGTAGCAGGCCTGACAGTGTCCCTGAAAAAAGCCTCTCCTGAAGGGCAGGATTCTGAGGATATGATGATGTTCTCACAAATGCTTCCCCTAATACCCTTACTTAGTCACAATAAACCACATGCAGCCCCCGGTGAGGCACACAGGGCTCTCAGGCACAGCTTCTCAGACGCAACAGGGATCTCTCTCTCCTAATGGAGCACTTGCCCCTTCAGGCTGGACAGCTGCAGCCAGTGCCACTCTTGTCCTAGTGGAGAGCGTAGCTGTCCATAAAAACCAACAGATCTAAGCTAAATGTGCTTCAACTTTATATTCTGACAAATAGTACTGATCCCTATCCTTTCCCTGGCTGTACTGGGATTGAACCCAGACCTTGTACATGGCAGGCAAGCAGTCTAACAGAACTATACCCACAACCTTTTATCCGTGTCTCTCGTGTGTGCCCACACTTGCCTTTTATTTTGGGACAAACGCTTCTTATTTTGAGATACGGTCTCACTAAGTGGCCTTGAATTTTCTCTGTAACCCAGACTTTTTATCTTCCTACCGCAGCTGGATTACAGGCCCTTTACCATCAGGCCTGGCTAATAGAGTATTATTTGAAATATTTTAAACACGACATCTTTATGGTCAACCACACAAGGAAAAAGACTGAAACCCCACTACTTAGGTAGTTCCCCCAGGGAAACCAGCTCGGGCTGGGACAAACTTGCCCGCCCAAAATTGGTGCTAGGAAGAAAGCACAGACAAGCCAGTCCTCCCAGCTCGGGAGTAAAAGACCTAGAGCTGGTGCCCGCTCAGACCAAGTCCGCGGGACGGGGAAGGGTACCCTCCTCCGGTAGTGGTGGCAGTTCCCCCACTCACGCCCTTCTGGAAGCACCAGCTTGGACCCACAGAGCCAGGAATGCAGCCTTGTCAAGGGGCGCGCCAGCGATGGTAACAGGACTGAGGAGTCCCAGTAGGGCTGAGGCGGAAGGTGGGAGACAGGGTTGTTCTTAGAAAGAGGAAAGGGGCCTTCTGGCAGGGTTCCCGGGGTAACCGCCCCACCTCGCCCAGAGCCCGACGTGGCGTGCGCTGGGGACAGCGAGCAGGAAGTCTACGGGGGAGCGGCTTGGGCAGCGTTGCAGGTGTAGGCGAGGGCGGTGCTGCCAGGTACACCCGAGGGCACCGCGGGGTAAGCGTCAGGTCCCTGAACCAGCCAGCAGCGCGCGCCAGGGCGCCAGAGCCGAGTCTAGCGGACCGACGGTACGTTCTGAAAAGGGAAGGAATCCCGGATGCGGGATGCTGCTTTGGGAGCCTCAGAGGCTGTGGTCTGGGAGTCCAGAATGGACTTCATCTGGTGGAGGCGAGGTGGCTTCCGGCCTCTGCAAGTGCTGCTGGGGTCTCTGGGACCTTGAGCCCTCCTGACTAAGTTTGGAAAGGGTGAAAATGGAGGGAGGGGGAGGGAAAAAGGAGAGGGCTGCAACAGGTCTTCCCAGATAGCCTGGGCTTCAGGAGCGGGGGGGGGGGGGGGGGGGGGGGGGGGGGGGGGGGGGGGCAAAGGGCTGTTGCGGGGGTGGTATTTTATTTTCTGGGGAGATGGTGTAGAAGCAACTGACCAAGTCTAGGCAATCGGAAGAGGCCAGGGGAACAGACAGCGAGGGTGGCGGGGCGAGTGACAAAGCCCTTCCAGGAAATGGGAGAGGCTCTAGCACCTGCGAACCCTTCCCTGTCCTCCGGGGCTTCCCAGAAGAAGAGGGCAGGACCACGGACACAAGTGCAGACGTGCCGGCGCGCTCCGGCTGGCGATGGTGCGCGCTCTCGGCGGCCGCGGGAAAGGCGAAAGGCCCGGGGAGCGGGGCCCTTTAAGGCTGCCCGGAGGCGTGTCAGGAAATACGCGCTGTGCCCGCCTCTCCCGGGACGCGGCCCCGGACCTGCCAAAGCTGAGCCGGAACTCGCACTGGCTCGCGGCCTCCGTGAGGCCTGGCGTCCGCCACACCTGTCAGTGTCCCTCAGGTCGCCTCCCCGAGCTCCGTGGCCTCCCTGCAGCCCACTCTCCCGTAGGCTCGGCGAGCGCTTCCGGGCGCTCCTGCAGCCCGCCCTCTGCGTAGCCCACGCCTCCCTCTCGGTGCTCTGCTCTCCACGCGGTCCGCGTCCTGTTCTTTCCTCCTCCACCCTGCCCTCTGTCCCTTTTCCTTCCTTTCTCCCAGAGACTCGTCCCTATTAGGCACCAGCCCCCTGTCTTCCAGCCGGCCATGGCTGTCAAGGCCCACACCCTTAGCTAGTCCCTTCTCCCTTCCCTGGGTCTTGCCTCATGACCCCCTCCTCTGGGAGCGAGCGCGATGTGGAGCGGTGCCTCTGGTCAAATCCGGAAGCAGAACTTCTTCCAAGACCGAGGGGACCGTTAGGTCACCCCATGTGACAATTGAAGGCTGCACCCACAGACCCTAGCAGCTTGGAGCCCTGTAGACCAGGGAATGTTTCTGGTCGTGGGGTGACCCAGCTCTTCTGCCACCATGAACAGGGCCCCCCTGAAGCGGTCCAGGATCCTGCGCATGGCGCTGACTGGAGCCTCTGTGGCCGAGGAGGCCGATGCAGACAACAGGAACAAGCCGTTTCTGCTGCGGGCGCTGCAGATCGCGCTGGTGGTCTCTCTCTACTGGGTCATCTCCATCTCCATGGTATTCCTCAACAAGTACCTGCTGGACAGCCCCTCCCTGAAGCTGGACACCCCTATCTTCGTCACTTTCTACCAATGCCTGGTGACCTCGCTGCTGTGCAAGGGCCTCAGCACTCTGGCCACCTGCTGCCCTGGCACGGTTGACTTCCCCACTCTGAACTTGGACCTCAAGGTGGCCCGCAGCGTGCTGCCGCTGTCGGTGGTCTTCATCGGCATGATTAGCTTCAATAACCTCTGCCTCAAGTACGTGGGGGTGGCCTTCTACAACGTGGGGCGCTCGCTCACCACCGTGTTCAATGTGCTCCTGTCCTACCTGCTGCTCAAACAGACCACTTCCTTCTATGCCCTGCTCGCGTGTGGCATCATCATTGGTGAGTGGGGCCCGGGACGTGGGGAGCGGGATGGGAGGCGAACTGAAGTCCTAAAGGTCAATACTGTGGGCACCTTTGCTTTATCTGTAAGTTCATGGTCCCTTGCATCAGCAGTCAAGGAAGAGCCCTGCAGAAAACAACTTCCTTGTGGTCACTCAGCAAGTTAGGGACACAGCCAGGGTGAAAGTAATTATGTTAGCAGCAACTACAGCAAAGACAGCTGTCACTGCCTGCATGCTTAAAGTGTGCCAGGCACTCAAATCTAAGGATTGGATTCTCAACTAATCCCCATGACAGGGTAAAATATACCTGCATTTTACAGAAGGAAAACCAAGGCACAGAGAGGCTATGTAACTCGACCAGCATCACACAGCTAAGCACTGCCCTAGCTGGGATTTAAACATAAGCAGTTACCTCCACAGATCACACCTTGACCACCATGCCGCTGTTCCTTCTCAAGATCCTGATTGTCCAGTGTTCTTTTACAAGGACAGCGCACTTTTAATGAGCTCACTGTCTCCCTCTGACATTGCTACCTTGAGGTAACATCTGAAATAGTGGTTAGATACATGTCTTAAAATTTTTTCTTCGTGTGTGTGTAGGACACCACAGTGTATGGGTGGAAATCAGGAATGTTTGAGAACTGGTCCTTTCTGCCATCATCAGGATTGGCACAAGCACCTTTACCCATCTTCCCAGACACGAATGATCATCGAACATGTAGCATCCTTTTTTACCCAGAAGCCCTCTGGGTGGTGGCATCCCTGTAGTCGCCACCATACGATGGAGGAAACGGAAGCTCGGAGAGGCTAGGCCACTTGCCAGGGCCCCACAACTAAGACAGTCTGGGATGCCACACTCTCTGACCCATGTTTCAAGCCAGTCCACTTTGTTCCCGCCCATTGGAAGTTAGCACGGTTCAGTCAAACACAATAACTACAGACCAAATGTGCTTTTAAATTAAAGTCAGACGAACTTTTAAACGTCTAGCTCCTCAGCTGCAGGAGTTATAGCCTGGTTCTGCGACCGTCTTTGCGTGTCCGGTAGTCATGTGTAGCTGGGCTCCTAGCTTGGGCAGCATGTGTTAGGGTCATGCCTGGCACTGAGTGTGGCTCAGAATGACTGCTAGTTACAGAGACCAAGGCGTCGGCTCCCTCCGAGTCCTGGACGACAGAATCGTGACCTTCATTTGTACCTGCTCAGGTTCCTTACTTTGTCTTGTTTGGCCTACTTTCTCTTCTCTGGTGTCCCAGAGGCCCAGGCGAGCTGCTCTGGATGTGGGGACCAGGCTGATGTATACATCTGCCCTAGAAATGTTCCCCGGGCTGAGCAGCCCCTGAATCTGGCAGGTAGAGGTCTGGGCCAGAGAGGGGCAGGTTAAAAGCTGTCAGCACTGGGTGACTCCCGCCTGCCCTCACACTTACAACACCCTAAGAGAATAGTATTCCTTACTTCCTCTTTGGCCTACAAGGTGCCCCGCCAGGGTTAGAAGGGATGGGCCTCCTAGGGGGAAATTTACATGCAGGAAGGTACAGTCACTGGAGAACCTGAGCCCAGGGCCCCAAAGTCACAAGTTGCTGATAGTGAGGCAGCTGAGAACCATGACAGTCTGCCTGGGTGGCATGGGAAAGTGGAACTCGGCTGCCCCCAGAACTGGCCTCCTCTGTTGGGTCTCCCTTCCTTCCTCCTGTGAGGGAGGGCCCGTGGGGTTTCCAGAGGGAGCAGGAGGAGCCATCTAGGCAGGGCTTGCAGAGAGGCTGCCAGAGTAGTGCAGGCTGGGAACACACATTTGAATGAGTACAGTTTTCCTGAAGGCAACGGGAGCCATGGAGGAAGATCATTTTAGTTGTAAGACAAAGAGTAGGTTGGTCAACATGGAAGCAAGAATATGGCCCCAATTTTTACAGATGAAGGAAATTGGAATTCATAGAGAGTAAATAATTTCACCCAAGTAGCTCAGCTTTAAGACCTCAGAGCAGTCAGAATCCAGATCTCACTGATGCCTGCGCTTGTCCTCCCGTTCTGTGTTGCTGATCCCTGTGGCAGCAGTAAGCCTCTGCCTTGTGGGAATGCAGGATCTAAACAAAGAGACCAGAGTGCTGCCGGGAGCAGGCACCTACCAACCAGGAACAGGTACCTACCAACTAGGGTTAGGCACCTACCAGCCAGGGACAGGCACCTACCATCCAGGGGCAGGTACCTAACAACCAGGGACAGTCACCTGCCAACCAGGGGCAGGCATCTACCAACCAGGGGCAGGTACCTACCAACCAGGAACAGGCACCTACCATCCAGGAACAGGCACCTACCAACCAGGGGCAGGCAAAGGGCATTGTGTTAAAGGGCAGAAAACAGGAAAGTGGGAAGAGGCCTGGATGATCTGGGTGGATGTAGAAGCGATCCCCCAGAGAGGATAGCTTTGACTTCAGAGAATGGCAGAGTCCCTGGAAGAAGGAGCGTGTTTTGGATGCAGCTAAACAGCTCTGTAGTGTGGGGAGCTGAGAGGGAGGGAGGCTTGAGGAAGTGCTAGCCAGATATGCTGTGGCCTGGGGAACCAAGCAGGCTCTTTGGACAGAAGATGACCCACGAATAAGTAGAGTCCCCAAGTGACTCTCCAAGCAGCATCTGGCCAGGAGCAACTCTGACCTAAAGCTTAGACTGATGGAGCCAGAGCCAAGGCTTAGAGTCCTGTCACTCGCCCAAGGTCACTTTAGCCACCGACTGGCGGCCCTCCTCCTATAGAACCGTTACCCCTACAGGACATCAGGTACCTATCTGTCCTACAGCCTTCATTACAGTGATCACAATTGTAATTTGAGAGGTGACAGGGTCACACTGTCCTTTCTACCATCCCCTCCTGCTAGACTGTGCCTGGAGGAGCTGTTGGGCCGCAGGTTCTGGGTTCTACTCCCTCAGCCCTTGTTTGGGGCCAGCATTAGACTTCGGTTGTGTTGACTATGAGGTAAGGACCACGGAACAGTCTGAACCGTGGTCTCAGAATCCTGTCCCTGGCCTCTTCACCTTGCCACTCTTCTGTCTCTGCTGCAGGTGGTTTCTGGCTGGGTATAGACCAAGAGGGAGCTGAAGGCACCCTATCTCTGATGGGCACCATCTTCGGGGTCCTGGCCAGCCTCTGTGTCTCCCTCAATGCCATCTACACCAAGAAGGTGCTCCCGGCGGTAGACAACAGTATCTGGCGCCTGACCTTCTACAACAATGTCAATGCCTGTGTGCTCTTCTTGCCCCTGATGGTTCTGCTGGGGGAGCTCCGTGCTCTCCTTGACTTCCCTCATCTGGACAGTGCCCACTTCTGGGTCATGATGACGCTAGGTGGCCTGTTCGGCTTCGCCATCGGCTATGTGACAGGACTGCAGATCAAATTCACCAGTCCCCTGACCCACAACGTGTCGGGCACAGCCAAGGCCTGTGCACAGACAGTGCTGGCCGTGCTCTACTATGAAGAAGCTAAGAGCTTCCTGTGGTGGGCGAGCAACCTGATGGTGCTGGGTGGCTCGTCGGCCTACACCTGGGTCCGGGGCTGGGAGATGCAGAAGACCCAGGAGAGCCCCAGCTCCAAAGAGGACGAGAAGAATGCCATTGGGGTGTGAGCTCCTGCAGGGTCAGCTGCTGTGGCCCTGAGCGCTATTGTTTACATCCTCCTCGGAATACGATCTAAGAGGAGCCAGGGTCTTTCCTGGTAATGTCAGAAAGCTGCCAAATCTCCTGTCTGCCCCAATGCATTTTGGGGAATCCCTACTGGGAGTGGCACTCCTTCCTGCCTCCTTCTGGGGCCTGTCTACCTCCATATCGCCTCTGGGGTTGGGGCCAGCTGCAACCTTACGGGGCTGGATTGATGAAATAATGTCTTGCCTGCTGCACAGGGGATACGGGTTATGACCCCGCTATGGCTGGTTGAAGGGAGATGGATGGCCCCACATCTCTGGGGCCCAGGGCAGGTAGAGCGGTCGCTCAGGTGCTGTCAACATCAGGAACACCCCGCCCGCCTCTGGAGGGAGGTTGGAGCTTGGCCGGTCTGCCCTCTTCTGTGTGGGTGGGTGTGGCAGACCCATCCATGGCAGCTGCACCCTGGAGTGGCTGCTGAGAAGCGTACACCTCTGCACTCCTTATTTTCAGCTTTAGAACAGGGGGAGCCACCCATCTTTGCAGATTAAGTAGGCTGATAGGCCCCTCTGCGCCCCCTAACCTTGGCTTTACCTGCCTGGCTTCTCTTGGCCCAGCTCCCTGGCCATACTCCCTTTCTGTACCCTTCTCCGTCACTGCCCCCCAACACCTTCATCTCTATGCAGGAAGTGGGGTCTGTTCTCGTGTGCTTGGGCCCCCGAGTCCCTGTGATAGTAAGAGACGTTTATGTTTTCTGGGGCTGGGGGGCTAAAGGAGCAGACTGGCTCAGAGTTGGCCCGTCTGGCTCCTGTCACAAAACAGTCCAGACCAGGTGGCTAAGAACAGAAGTTGGTTTGTAAGTTCTGGGGCAGCAAAGCCCAGATCAAGGAGCTCATAGACCCAGTGGTTCAGAGAAAACCCCTTCTGTGATAGAAGCAGACAGGCTGAACACCAGCCCCATTCATGAGGGTTCTACCCTGTTACCTGATCACCCCCAAAGCCTTCAATATAAGGACTCCAACATGAATTTGGAGACAGAAGCACTCAGACCATAACCCCAGCACCACACCCTCCTAACCTCAGGGTAGCTGCCATTCCCCTAGTCCCTTCTCTTGGGCCTTTTGTGCCCCCATTTCCTTGGGGGTAATTTCTGATGTTTCTATTCCTGTCATAAAAGGATGGGGAGAATGTGTCCAGCCTGTGATTCCTACTTCCCACAATCCCCGGTTCTAATGAAGTTGGTGGGGCCTGATGCCCCGAGTTGTATGTGATTTAATTAAAAAAAAAGAAAGAAAGAAAAAGAAAAAAGAAAACCAAGACCTAGCATGTGTGTGGACTGAGTGAGGGACACAAGGCTCAGTGGGATCTGGGATCTAGAAGCCAAGTTTGCAGGGACCCAGCTACAGCAGGCAGCCTTCCTGAGCCTGCAATCTCTTGGGACAAGGATTCTCCATACACCTACCCTGGGAAGTGGGTGGCCAGAGTTCGAGTCTCTGTTCGTATCAACTGCTACTGGCTGTGTGCTTACTGAGGGCAGACGTCTGTCACTCATCTCCACAGCCATTCCTACTGTGGGGTGAGCCATCACTGATGCTCCCATTTTACAGATGAGGACACTGAGGCTCAGAGAGGCTTGTGTGGAAAAAAGTAGCAGAATTCAGACGGAGAGCTGGGCCTCCTGCAGTGCCTTGGGCTACCACCAGCTACAGTGCTTGTCACAGGGCAGATGCTCAAAAGAATGCTTGCTCCCTCAGCCTAGAGACAAGAGGTCTTTCTCTCAGATGAGGAAGAGGGCCAAAGCTATGTTAACTTGCCTGACCACATACCTGACCAACAACTTGAAGGAGGGAGAATTACCATGACACCCAACTTCAGAGTGTCAGTTCACGACGGTAAGTCATGAATGAGATCCAACTGTGTTGGGTCCTTGTGATTCAGTCACTCCTACCAGAATGCTGGGTTGGGGGGTGGTGCAGGCAGATGCCGAAGGCAACGGAGGCTTTCTGAGGTGTGGTGTAGGGTACGCATTTCTACGCCCATGTTTACTGGTGAACCTTGAATGGAAAAGCCCTGTGGAGGATACACCCTGCAAGCCAATAGCCTTTCCTGGCAGTGGGTGAATGCTGCTACCCTGTGCCCTTCTGCAAGGCCAGCAGAACCACCCAGCCCTCAACATCTAGAGACACTACCGGTCATCGTAAGCCTCTAATATGCAGCAAGAGAGTCCTAACACACTAGCCTAGGATGCAGGGTGCATCGTCTGAGGGAAACTGGGGTTCCTTATAGAACTGGAGGGTCTAAGGAGTCACACTGACAAGAGGTCAGCCGTCAGAATCCTGTAGCCAGCAGCAGCAGCTACTCCTGAGTCTCCAGCCAGAGCACCCTGTGAAGGTGCTTTATTCTCACATCTGGGTGTCTGGGGATGGGACTGGGTCACCCAGGCAGCTCCCCTGCTGAGACACTGCAGCAGGTTGGGGATGAGACAGTAAGCCTACAGTAGACTCTGATAGGTAAGAAAATGAGGCCAAAAACTGCTTTAGTTCTTTTCCAGGCTTGATCTGTCTTCGTTCAAAACTACTATTTGTCCTTAAACTTGTCCAAACCCTTTGCTTTGCAGTGGAGGAAAATAAGGTGTAGAAAGGTTAAAGGGAGTTTCTGGGCTTGTAAAGCAAAGTACTGGCTTCACCTGAAATAGACAGGTTTACCCTGGTCCTGATCCAAATGCCTTCCACTAGCTCCAGATTGGAAGCTGATAGGTGTGTGTGTGTGTGTGTGTGTGTGTGTGTGTGTGTGTGTGTGTGTATGTGTGTTTTCACTCATGCATAGGCCAGGGGTGTTACTGTTCAGGAGCTATCCTCCTTATTTTATGAGACAGGGTCTCTCCCTGGGACTTGGGACCTATGATCCCACAAGGCTGCCTAGAACAAGTCCCAGGACTTCTCCTGTCCTCAGCTACTTGACTGTGATTATAACCACACGTCTATAAGACTTGCTTCTCTGTGGGTTCTAGGACTGAACTTGGGTCCTCGTGCTTGCCTAAGGCTCTGCCTACTGCGTTATCGCCCATCCTCACTCATTTAATTTATCACTTTACTTGCAGACACCACTGAGTTTCGCTGTCTGGAGGACCAGCCTCCAGCAGCACAGGGCTCGCAAAGAATCCAGAGTCCTTGGGGTTAGAGAAAGACACTCACACTCTCTCTTGATGGTTTCCTCCAGACCATTTCTTTATTCTTCTGTATTCTGAATTGTATTCTCCAGTCTCTTCTTAATCCCTATCCAGAAATGTCCCTTCTGTTTCTCTTGATGTCTTCCTTCTCCTTCCTTGTAATTCCCTCTAACTCTTGATGTCTTCCTTCTCACTCATTTTAACTCCATCTTTAGTCTTTCCCTTACAGCTTATAAACCCCAACTAAATCTTTTGGGCAATATGAAAATTGCAATGTGTAGTCGGGGGGTGGTGGTGCACGCCTTTAATCCCAGAACTTGGGAGGCAGAGGCAGGCGGATCTCTGTGAGTTCGAGACCAGCCTGGTCTACAGAGCTAGTGCCAGGACAGGCTCCNAAAAACCAAAAAAAAAAAAAAAAAAAAAAAAAAAAAATTGCAATGTGTTTGCATTCTGTTTTTTTCCAGTGAATACAAGTAAAAAAAAATCATGTTTTCCATATCCCTTACATTATTAAACACTTCACGTATTACAGGTGAAAAACCAATTATCCTAAGAACCCATGTACATTCTCGTCTAAGTAACTAAGTAACAGAATGTGAGCGAACAGGGTACTTTTTCTCTGCCAATCCTTTTGTTGGGTAGGCCGCATATGGCGGTTACAAAGAAAGAATCGCCACTGCATTATTTATCTTGAGAAGCTATCTTGAAAGAAATCTTAGAGGAATCTCAAACCTAAACTTTTATGCATGAAAAACAATCAGTCAGCTCTACTTTAAGTCTTTAGAATATATACGTACTCATCAACAGTTTGTATATCAGGAGACGGAGGGCGGAAAAGGGTATAAGGAATTAATCATCACCTTTGGTCATCTGCCAGTCCTATCAAGAAAGGTACACCAGCTTTGTTCTTGTTCCTTGACCTTAACAAGTTCCTCATTCAACTACATGACTTTCTGCAACTTTAGATTGTTTACTTGGGCTTTTCACCTCAAAGCTGTTTAACAAAAAGCATCTAATCTAACCTTAAGTTATTTTCAAAGCTTTGTTTCAGCTATGATGCACTCTAAAACCCGTGAACATATCTCCCAACACTAAGATTAGAAGAACTTAAACTAGCTGGGCTACTGGGACTTAATTATTTTTCTTAATCTTTTTTTTTTATTTATTATGTACACAGTGGTTGTGCCTCCATGTAATCCTGCAGGCCAGAAGGCACCAGATCTCATTGTAGCTGGCTGTGAGCCACCATGCGATTGCTGGGAATTGAACTCAGGACCTCTGGAAGAACAGTCAGTGTTCATAATCTCTGAGCCATCTCTCCAGCCCCTATTTTTCTTAATCTTTAACCACAGTCTATGGCTCCTCAATAGAAACTCATATGTTCTAGCTGTGTGACACTTCCTTGTTTTATTTTTTATCTTCAAAACTTTACTTAAACTAACATTATTGTTATCAATTAGATAGAACCGCTTAGGAAGAAATCATCTTCATATAATCCACAGGTAGAAATGCCCAGTAGAGTGCTCGCTTCGGCAGCACATATACTAAAATTGGAACAATACAGAGAAGATTAGCATGGCCCCTGCGCAAGGATGACACGCAAATTCGTGAAGCGTTCCATATTTTTATATGTCAAAAAAAAAAAAAAAAGAAATGCCCAGTAGAATGGGATGCTTCCAGGAGACACAGGCAGTGGGATCTCCCCACACCCACTTACACCAGAGCAGATGCCAGAGGAAGAGGGCAGCAGCAAACGTGAAGGCCCGGCAGAAGCAAAGGACCTTGTCTACTTGAGATTCACCCCTCAGGGATTTTCCTCCTGATGGCTGACACCTGAAGTGAGTTACTTTCCACTGCTACTCCTCTGACATGGCCACCAGCAACAGGACCAGAGAGATGGCTCATGGGAAAAGGTACTGCTGCCAGGCCAAGGACCTAAGATCAATCCCAAGCACCCTCGTGATAGAAGAGGACTCACACTCTGACCATTCACACACACCAAGGCAGGAAAGTGTGTACAAACAGATAAATAACTAAGGAAGAAAATCTTTTTAAAGAGTCTTTACAATATTCATTTATTTGTCAAAGCAACCCAACGTGGGTACAGTGTCGCCTGTGTAAGACAGGGAGACTAAGGTACACAGGAATGAGTGATTTGAGCTTACATGGCTAGTAAGGGACAGAATTGGGAGTCAAACCCAGTAGTCCCTATCTCAGCCATAAACCATGTTGCTTTTTTGAGTATTAAAAATATATATTTTACCATGAGGCTCATGGCTTGTTTCCTCACATCTTGCTTCCCCAGCAGCTACTAGTGCCTCCCTTGACTGCCTTCTTTCTCCCTACATCTGTTTGGATTTCTTGCCTAGCTGTATTCCACTCTACCCTAGACCAAAGCAGATTCTTTATTAACCAATAGTATTAAAAACATATTCACAGCACACAGAAAGGCCTCCCACATCATGTAGCCATGTCTGGCTTTTTATCTGGGCGGTAGACAGCTAAATGCACACCCTCATGATGTTCTGTGAACTCTGACTCTTTGAGGTAGGAGGGCTGGCTACAGAGAGAGGACTTGAGTGTTGTCTGTGGACATACTGTTGCAGCTTGCTGGTTGGCAGGGACCTTAAAACACCATAGAGTTGTGGCAATAAACATGGCTACAGCTGGTACCTCTGCTGACAAGGCTGGAAAGCTAAGGAATGAGCTGGATCTAGCCGGCAAAGCCATGGCTTTAATCCTCTCCATAAAGACTCATGTAGTCAGAAAAAGAGAGATATACAGTAAAGAGAGATTCAAAGACGAAGAAAACCTCGTAATAGTTTACAGTGTGTTCAAAATATATGGAGGCTAAAGGTTAAAGTCCTTAAAAATAAAAAAGAGAGAGTAGTTGGGTGTGGGGGTATACACCTTTAATCCCAACACTTGGGAGGCAGAGGTAGATTGACCTCTGTGACTTCAAGGTGTGGTAGCACACACTTTTAATCCCAATATGGGAGGCAGAGACAGATAGTTCTCTGTGAGTTCAAGGTGTTGTAGCACACACCTTTAATCCCAGCACTGGGGAGGCAGAGACAGGCAGACCTCTGTGAGTTCAAGAACAGTCTGGTCTACAGAGTTACTCCAGGAACACAGAGAACCTGTCTCAAAAGCTAAAAGTAAAACTAAAAGAAATAGAGGTTAAAATAAAGCTGCATAAAGATGGAAAATACACAGAGAATCTTGATACTGTATGCTATCATGGTCTCTTTAATGTTTGAATGCTGAGGAAGGAACAGCTGATAAAAGATATTTGCTTATGAATGCTGTTGAACTATTTCAAGATAGATATTTTAAAAATACCTTGACTTCAAAATTAAAGTCAAAAGGTATGTTACTTTGGAGAAGAAATTTTTCTTTTGTTTCCACAGGAAATGAGAGGCTGTGGATCAGCGCCCAAAGTGGGGCATGAACCCATGACCCTAAGATTAAGAGTCTCATGTTCTACCTACTGAGCTAGCTCTACCATGTTGGACTGGGCAGGACAAGCCCGCAGTACCTGTTTTTGACCTAGGAATGTCACAGCTTAGATTCTTAAGTGCTTAGTGATTTAAAACTACAAAGCAAAAATGCTCATGGATAGTAAAAAATTACAGATTCACAATAGGACAGATTCAGACATAAAAGACCTCTAAATGGGTCATATTGTTAGATAAATGTAGGCTTGGGAGAGAAAGAAAAAGAGTATAAAGAGTCATAAAGTTAATATTAAAAAAGGGGTAAAGTCTTTAAAGAGACAGAGTACAGATAATTATAAATTAAAAGAAATAAAAATAAGCCACGTAAAAATGGAAAATTCACAGAGAGTTTGGATTCTGTATATTGTGTTTTCTTTGAATTTTTTGACTGTAAAGAAGTACAGAGGCACATATCATTGTGTGGGCTGCTAAGATAAACCAGGACGTATATTATAAAGCTATCTTGACTTCAGAATTTGGATCTAAGAATATGATGCTTTGGAAAAGATGTTCTTTTTTTTTGTTTTCACAGAGGATGAGACCCTGTGGATTGCTTCTATCCCAATATAGTATGATAGACCACGCCCTCCTGAAAGGTTGTTGTGAACACCCTGAAAAAATTACTTTGCTCAACTGCTGACTGAGATGAACCTGGCATACAGGTTACACCATGAAAGACCTGATTAACAGCGCCCTATACAGCAGGAAGCAGTTTGGAGAGAAATAACTGTGTCCATATTCCCAAATATTGTTTATAAATGTTCTTTTATATTTAAAGGGGGATATGATATAGATATGAATAATTTGCATTGGTATGGATTTTAAGGTCAATCTTGTTATATGTATATGTATTTCTGCTCTTGATTAAGGTATTGTGATTGTGTAGTTCATTTAAAAATGTAATGTTTAATTAGGAAATATAGGTTGTTAATGGATAATCATCGGTAATAGTTAGGCTTGTAGTCATGTTAGTTAGACTTTCTAGGTGTGCATAGATATATTTCATATAGGCATTCTTCATATCTTTCAAAGACTACAGAATATGGTATTTAATGTTTTAAAAATTTAGGGCTTTTCATGACTATGAGACACGTCTGCTCCTGGCAGCACCAATCTACTTCAAGAGGAAGATGGGCATCGAAGAGGCTCCTTACGGAGTTGGTTAGCCATTTGGGCAAGAAACTGTTCTTGTCTGGACTGTTGCATAAACTGGACACAGAGAACCCACAGAGAGAGGACTGCTGAACTTGCCTAAAGGTGAGATGGTCTTTCGGGGTTCCTGTTTCTTGAAAGAGTCTGTGAGACATTCTACAGGACACAAAAGAAAGTGACTGAACTGTCTTTGAAATTTCCTGCTTCCCAAAAATGTCTGCTGGATACTATGGGCCTGTAGGCTGAAGATGGATGCCCCAAAGGTACAAAAGAACTTTGGGTGACTGTACAGGCAATGAGATATCTCTGTCACATAGACAGAAGAACCTCCTACACCAGGTACTGAGCCATGTAGCTAACATAGACAAGAATAATGGGCTAATATACATTACAAGAGTTGATCCAGTCTATTTGGTGTTCTGTAAGCTTCCTGCATCTTCATAGGCATATCTTTCTTTAGATTGGGAACATTTTCTTCTATGATTTTGTTAAATATATTTTCTGTGCTTTTGAGTTGAACTTCTTCTTCTATACCTATTATTCTTAGATTTGGCCTTTTCATTGTGTCCCATATTTCCTGGATATTTTGGGTTAAGTTTTTGTTAGATTTAATGTTTTCTTTGACTGATGAGTCAATTTCCTTTATTCTATCTTCAGCACTTGAGATTCTCTCTTCCATCTCTTGTATTCTGCTATTTATGCTTGTGTTTGTGGGTCCTGATTTTCTCATGATTTCTGTTTCTATAATTCCCTTGGCTTGTGTTTTCTTTATTGTCTCTATTTCAGTTTTCAAGTCTTGAATAGTTTCTTTCATATGTTTGATTGCTTTTTCTTGGTTTTCTTTAAGGGATTTGCTGATGTCTTTCAATTTTTTGTTTGTCTTTTTATCCATTTCTTTGAGGGAATTTCTCATTTCCTCTTTAAGAGTTTCTCCTGAAGTTATTTTTTTAGGTTGTTTTCTTCTGCTTCATCTATATTTGGTTGTTCAAGTCTTGCTGTTGTAGGTTCTCTATAGTTTACTTATGTCGTGTTGTTCTTTGTGGTGTTGTGTGTGTTCTTACCTTTTTCTACTCATCTCTTCCTCTAATAGGTGTGGTAGGGACTGTTTGTGATTCTGGTGATTAATCTTCTAGGTGCCAGTGGATCCAAGACTCAGATGGTTGTTCCTTGTGGTACAGTCAGTGCCACAGTTCTAGTTATCCCATTGGTCACTCTGTGTTCCTGGAGGCCACTTACCGCTAATGGGCTTTGCTCCACTCCCATGTAGTTTGCTGTCTCAGGCCTGTTCTGTTCTAGGTTGTTGGCTCAGACCTGTTTCTGTAAACGTTCCTGGTCTGGACCTGCTCTTTCAGAGGTCCCTGGCTTGGGGTTGGTCCTGCAAAGGTCTCTGGCTCTGATCTACTCCCTTGAAAGTCCCAGACTCAAGTGAGCCCAGACCTGCAGGGGACCTGGCTCAGGCCTACTCCCTCAGAGGTCCCAGATTCATGCCTGAACTCACAGAGATCTCTGGTTTCTGCCTACTCCATCAGCGGTCCTAGACTCACGCCCAGACCCACAGGGGTCCTGGCTCAGGTCTACTCCCTCGAAGGTCCCAGATTCACGGCCAGACCCACAGTGGTCTCTGGTCTGGCCCACTCACTCAGCAGTATCAACCCACTCTTGTACGAGCTAATCCACTCCCAAGACCAACTTTAGTCCCACCACGAATCACCTCCCAGTAAGTCCTGCCTCTTAAAAAAATGTCACCCCTTTGTCCAGATCTTCCCACTGGGGACTTGTGGTGTAACCATCTCCAAGCTATGGCAGGCTTCTAGATTTTCTAGAATTTCTAAAACTTCTTTGCAAGAGAAACCAGAAATCTGAAACATTATATTCAGCCTCTTGGTCTTGAAAGGAAATTCAGGTTGTAAGATACTCTGTGGGCTGGGTGGTAAGCATGCATGCTGGCTGCAGCCCAGGGCCCCCATGTGCGGCTTTCTTGGCATTTCAGTTCTTTGAAAGCTTGCCACATCTGTGAGAAGGTGAGCATCACACAGGACCCGTGGAGCAAAGATGGCAGCAGGTTTTATAACTGCGGGCTGCCATGGCCTAGCCTAAATGCCCTTCTTTCTCCATCTCCACAAGAGACGGCTTTCAGAAAGATCTTTCTGGCTGCTCCCACCACTCTCTACGGCACTAAACAACTCGGGACTGTAGTGAGCCTTTCTTGTCAGACTTTCTTGGGGACCTTCAGCCCCAAATAATGACACGGAGATGTAGTTTTAATTATGAAATCATGGCCTTTAGCTTAGGCATGTTCCCAACTAGATCTTATAACTTAAATTGTAGCCTCTGCCTGTAATATGGGACTGGACATGAGCCAGGAAGGGGGCCTGCCTGGAGATTTAAACACATATGCACACAGACAGACAGAGACACAGGGACATGGGTCATCCTTGAAACAAGAATACCAAGAATGCCAACTTTATTGTGTTCAAGGGCAGCTTATATAGTGCTCTGGCCATGCGCCAGCTCTCAGGATCTTTCAGCTGCAGACACCAGAACCCACTTGCCTGTCTCATGTTCAGAGTATCTGCAAACCCAGGAAAACAAGTTGTTTACAGGAAATTCAGGGTCTGGGGGTCCACAACCCCCAACATTAAGTTAGCCTGCTTCTATTAATCTATGTTCTGCCATGTGGGTTTTTTTTTTTTAACCTCTCCTCCATTCTGTATGTCGGACTCTCTCCATATCTTGTTGGCATCTCTCCATATATCTCAGATTTCTCCCCTCTTCCTGTTTCCCCTGTAATCCCACCTATCCTCTCCTACCTAGCTATTGGCCATTCAGCTCTTTATTAAACCAATCTGGTGCCTTGGGCAGGCAAGGTAAAACAGTGACACATCTTTACACATCTGTTCAAATATCCTGCAACACTGGACTGTGTGTGTGTATGTGTGTATGTCCGTGTCTCTGTAAAGTGTGTGTCTGTGTAGGTGTGTGTCTAAGTAGGTGTATGTCTATGTGTAGGGGGTGTGTGGGGGTGGGGGAGGTGTCCGTGGTGGGTAGGTGGGTGTCTGTGTAAGGTGTGTGTGTGTGTCTGTGTGTCTGTGTATCTGTGTCTGCGTGTCTGTGTAGGTGTGTGTCTATGTGTGTGTGTGTGTGAGGGAGTGGGGAGGTAGGTGTCTATGTGTCTGTGTGTCTTGGTAGGTGTGGGTGTGGATGTGTCTGTGTAAATGTGTCTATGTAGGTGTGTGTCTGTGTGTGGGTGTGGGCGTGTCTGTGAAGGTGTGTGTCTATGTAGGTGTGTGTCTGTGTGTGGGTGTGTCTGTGTAGTGTGTGTCTATGTAGGTGTGCATCTGTGTGTGGGGTGGCTATCTGTGTAGGTGTGTGTCTGTGTGTTGGGGTGTAAGTGGCTGTCTGTGTAGGTGTGTGTCTGCGTGTGGGTGGGTGGGTAGCTGTCTGTGTAGGTGTGTGTGTAGGTGTGTGTGTGTAGGTGTGTGCTTGTTTGTATGTGGGGTGCGGGTATCTGTATGTGTGTGTGTGTATATGTGTCTGGTGGGGGGTGTTTAGGGGGTTAGGATGTTCCACGGCCTTCCTTACTGTCTTCTTGCTCCTTGACAGGAGACCAGTTCTATGGCTGGTGTTGCGACTGTGATGACAACAGAGTGAATGGAGGACTGGCAGCAAGGCTGGCTGTTGTCCTGAAGACCGCTAGCAGGGGCAGCAAGGCTGGCTGTTGTCCTGAAGACCGCTAGCAGGGGGCGCGCGAGTGAAGAGACTCCGCACTGCAGTCTACCCACAATTCCCTCTTCCTGCTGAGAAAGTACCTCTCACACCTCCCTGCAACCGGGCCTTGCACCAGCCCAGTTGGTCTGGATCGCGTCAGTAACCCCTGCACATTGGTCTAGGTAGTGGCGAGCATGTGGCTCAGGTCAAAGTGAGCTGAGGGGAGGCAACATGGCCAAGAGGCATCCGATTGGTCATTTTGGCAGCTCCATTGAAAATGGACGCACAAAGAGGCAGGAGGAAACTGGGGGCTTTACCGGTACTTATTTCATTAGACACTCTAGCCTTTTGGCATCCATGTTCTCAATTTTCCCACCTACCTCCTAACCTTGGTCCATGCTACTCACTCTTAATGTGGGATTCCCCTCTGTATGCTGTGGATACCATTGGTGAATAAAGAAACTGCTTTGGACAGAACTTAGCTAGGCAGGGAAAACTAAACTGAATGCTGGGAGAAAGAAGGCAGAGTCAAAGAGAAGCCATGGTGATAGACAAACTGAAACCTTGCCAGTAGGCCACAAGCCTTGTAGTAAAATATAAAATAATGGATATGGGTTAATTCTAGATGTAAGAGCTAGCTAACAATATGTTTAAGTAATTGGCCAAGCAGTGTATTAATTAATAGTTTCTGTGTGGTTATTTCGGGAGTCTGGGCAGCCGGGAAACAAACAAGCGACCTCCTACTACACCCTCTATCTGTGGTATTTCTCCTTTCTGCATCTATTTAGTACCCACTGTCCTTTCTGATCTCAGATCAAACTGTCAAATAAAAATAAACATAGACCTAGTGAGGGAGAGAATTTGGTCAGAAATAAAGACTTTGAAATGGTGACTATAATTAAAAATATAACACTGTATGCTGTAATTTGCTAAGAGTAAATTTGAAATATCCATACCACTAATAAAAGGATTAATACCTGAGGTGATATATAGGTTAATTAGTTTGATTACAACAATCATCTCACACCATATTCAGACATCAGAATATTTCTTTATATGCCATCAAGATATAAAATTTTTATTTGCCAATTATAACTCAATAAAGCCACAAAAGGAAGGAAGGTAGGTAGGGACAATAGGAAGGCTGCCCTGGCCTTAAAATGGAAATGAATTTTCTTTGACAGACAATAGAAAGGCCCGCAGAAATGAGTGGTGTCTGTTCTTGGGTGGCCAGACAGACAGCTGGTAAGGAGAGGCAGCTTCTGTTCTCCTACACTTGCTCAGGGTTGAGCAAGTGAATCCCAGACCTGCAGGGAGGACAGAAGCCAGAGCCAGGTTTACTCAAGCAAAGCCAAGCATAAGAAGAGGGCACTGTGCACACTGGTCAACAGCACACTCTCAGAGAAAACCTCTCTGCAGCTCTGCCTCTGTGGCCAGACTGCCTGGGATTGAATCTCAGGTCCGCCACCTGCCAGTTCTGTGACCTTGCACAGGGTCTCATGGATCTAAGGTTGGCCTCAAATTTCCTGTGTAGCTGAGCATGGCTTTGAACTTCTGCCCCTCCTGTCTCCACCTCCTGACTGCTGGGACTACAAGAATATGTTGCCATATCCAGTGTGTTTCATCACTTAGCCAGTACTGGTTAAGTGGCTAGTGTGGGAGGCTCTTAGTAAGTGTTTTTGTTTTGTTTTATTTTGAAGAATGCAGCCACACAAACCACAAACAGAACTCTGGCCTGCCAGAGTTTGCTAGAGCCTGGGAAAATCCTTGCCCCCACATTGAGCCAGTTGACCAGAACATAAACAAGAAGCAATATATCAGCCTTCAGATGTTGTGATAAATAAAAATGGTGGGGGCTGGGTATGTGGCTCAGTTGGTAAAATGCTCTTCTAGCATGTAGGAAGCTCGGGGTTCTTATTGCATAAAGTCATGTTGTGGTCCACATCTACAATTATCACTCTCAGGAGGCAGAAGTCCAAGGTCATCCTGAGCTACACAGCAAGCTTGATGCCAACTTAGGCTATACGAGACCCTGTCTCAAAAAATAAATGACAGTCATGAAAGAGCTTGGCCAGGGCATATGATTGTGTTTATTGTGCCTAGAATTGACAAACCTCTAGAGACAGGAAATAGATGGGTGACTGCCTCAGTCTGCACCGCCCCCCTCTGAGGTGGGAGGGAGACGAGATGCTCTAAAATTGTGGTGGAGGCGGCTGCACAGCTCGGGCTGTAATAGAAGCATTGACTTGTACATTTAAGTGGGTGCGCTTTTTGACATAGATGCTATGTCTCAATAGAATGGCCTGGAAAGGAAGGTGCTCGTGTTCACAGAGGCACTACACACAAAATCCCAAAGTGGACAGAGCACGGTGTCTGTGAGCAGATGATGATGGAGCCAAACTTCAAACATCACGCTCACGTGATGTGCACGTACAGCAGTCCCCACTCATGCAGTGCTTGACGATAGTTCGTTCTAGAAAAGAACAACCCCATTGGGTAATCTCATCACTTATAGAAAGCTGAAGGCCTCCTGATGCAGCAGGTGTGTGAGGCCAAGACCCCTTCTGTAGGAAGGTGATGATGCGCCCAAAGCCACAGTCCAAAGCATAGTACAGAAGACACAGAGACCATCGCGGTCCTTCACCATCATTAGCCCATGTCACACTTTTATGACTGGGGCAGGGTGGTTTGCTCAAATCAGCAGCACCAAATGCCTTGTGCTTCTGTGTGAGGTACATCACAGCTCACTGGCTGGCAGGAACTTTGTTATAATCTCCTGGGATGACCACGGTGAGAACGATGCCAGTCCATCCTTCTTTGTGTGGCACGGGGCTGTATTATCTGTCCACCTACAAAAGAGACTTGGAAATATTCTAAGTGGGAGAAACCAGACACAAAGGGACATTTATGTGATGGGGGTTGGGTTTTCAGAAGCTGGCACCAGAGCAGAGGTAACTAAGGCATTGGAAGGGAAGAATGGTGGCCTGCTGTTTGAGGGGGATTCTGTGTGGGATGATGCAACATGGTTAGAATGGTTCATTTGTGTTGTGGGTACTTTACAACAGTAAAATAACTCATACGCAAAAATGGGGAGGGGCTGGGGACATAGCTCGGTGGTAGAGTGCTTGCCTGGCAGGCACAAAGCCCTGGGTTCTACCCCAACATCGTGTTTTACAAAAACTGGGTGTGGTGGTGCACACCTGTAAACCCAGCATTAGGGAGGTGGAGGCAGGAGGATTGGAAGTCATCATCCAAAGCTTATTGGTTCAAGGTCAGACTAGAGCTGGAGAAATTGCTCAGCTCTTGCAGAGGACCCAGGTTCAGTACCCAACACCCAAATGGCAGCCCACACTAACTCCAGTTCCAGAGAATCTGACACCCTCTTCTGGCTTCTGTAGGCTCCTGATTGCATGTGGTATATTTAGTCTTACACAGGTGCATACACATACGCATATAAATAATAGTAAGTGGTTTTTATTTAAACAAGATCAGTCTCTATGCTATATGAGACTTTCTCAAAAACTCAACAAGCCAACAATTAAAAAAAGAGAAGAAAAGAAAGTGAGATTGGATGGGGGATGCAGAAGGGTGGCCAGCGTGCAGAAAACGAGGTCAAGAGACAGCTGCACAAGAGCCTCAGAGGAGACTGGCAGCAGAGGGCAAAATGCCATCAGTGACCCTAGGTGGCCCTAGGATAGGAGCTGCTATCTGCACAATACCACACATCCTATGCTGGCCTGTGACTAAAGCTGCTCACTTAGGTGCAGGGTATGGAATATGTGAACCACTCCCCAGCTCCCCATCCCCCATAGCCCCCTACTCACATAGACTCCAGAGAGCCCCAGGCACCTGCACAGAGCCTGCACACGGTGAACATGCAAGCAATGTCTGGTGAGCAGACAGCACGGATCGATCCACTGAACTCTAGGGTGTGGGTTCCTGTTCACTATTTTTCTACATTTGGGGCCCGTGCGCTTAGCCCAGCGCTGTCACATTAACATTTAGTATAAAAACACTTTATTTTCTGATGGTACTTCATTAAAAATCCTAGATTGTCTAAAATAAGTTTACATTTTCATTTATTTATTTTGAAATAAGGTCTCTTGTGGCCCAGGCTGACTGAAACTCCCGCTTCTATCTCCCCTGTGCTAAGATTAGAGGTATATGCCGGTTTCTACAGTACAGATGGGACCAGCGTTGTGTGACTACAAACAAGCACTCTATCAACTGAGCTGCATCCCAAGACCTATGCTATTTTATTCACTGAACACAAAATCCCATTAAACAAAGAGCCAGGTGACACCTGCTTATAATCCCAGCATTTGGGAACCTGGGGCAAAAGGATCTCAGGTTAGAGCCAACCTAGGCTCCATGGTAAGGCCATACCTCAAAAACAAAAGAAAAACACAGACAAACATCAGTCAGTTTTAACAACTAGCCCTACCATCTCCGAGGTTCGTCAGCCAGTGCTCAGGGGTCACTGGTCTCTGCCCTCCTGGAGTCTCTATTCATTCTGCCCCCTAGCCCTAGCACGTCCTTTTCCTTGGCTCCCGTGTCTGTGGCTGCTCCCTCGGTCTCTCTGGCCTTTACCTTCTAGCTCAGTTCTCAATGAGAAGCATTAATTGTCACAGCGTGAGAGGTTGTTATGATATCTGCTGGGTAGGGGTAGAAATTCTGCTAAACACAGTAGCCAAAATATCCCCCAAATGACAAAGAACTACCTGGTCCAAAGTAGAGAGGTTGTGCCAGGTGTGATGGTATACATCTATAATCCTAGCCCTTAGGAGGCTGAGGCAGGAGGATTCTACAAGTTCAAATCTAGCCTGAGCGAGGTAGAAAAGGTATTCTCTCAAAAATGATTTAATTAGGGCTAAAAAGATGGCTCAGCAGTTAAGAGCACTGGCTGTTCTTCCAAAAGACCTGGTTCAGTTCTCAGGACCCAAAGGCGGTAACAACACCTAGAACTCCAGGTCCATGGGATCCAGTGCCTTCCTTTGCTCTCACTGGGAACCAGGCACGCACATGGTTTACAGACATATGTGCAGGCAAAGCACCATACACATGAAATAATAAAGGCATAAAAATAAAATTAATTAATAAAACAATACCAGTGTTGGAAAACCACGCACCTGAGGTGACATAATAGTCTAATAACCAATTATCATAATAATTCTAACTCCGCTGCTCAACACTCAGGGCAGGGTGTACGACACAATTTAGCAATCCTTGCAATAGCCTAGGAGGGAGGTAAGGTTGTGAGTACCTTCTTTTTTACTTTTATTAATTTTGAATGATACATGTGTGTCTGTGAGGGGTATGTGCACATGAGTGTGGTGCCCACAGAGGCCAGAGGTGCGAATTCTTCTGGAGCTGAAGGTCCAGACCGCTGTGAGCCAACTAATGGAGGGGCTAGAAACTGACCTCGGGTCCTCTGGAAGAGCAGCACAAGTGAGGAACCACTCAGTCATCTCTCCAACCCCACGAACTCTGCTTTATAGCAATGGGAGCTGAAGCTGGAGGGTTAGGGGCCTTGCCCCAAGTCATCCAGCAAGGATCAGAGTCGGAAAGGCAACACACACACACACACACACACACACACACACACACACTTTCCTTCCTTGAGCTTAAGCACAAGTTAGTCTTCTTTTCATTGGCAACAAGCCGTGAAATGTCTGGTTTAGCAG